GTAGAATATACTGTTACCATTGTGTTCAATTACACAAAATGTCCCCAAGATGCTGCCATGCTGCTCTTTTGTCCACTCTGTAGCATGCCAAGGAGTGAAGCCATGGTTCTTGCCTAACTACAAGAAAAAAGACTGATGTGAAAAGACCTAAATAAATCCTATTTACAAGATGGTAAAGAGTACTGTAGAGTATCCATTAAAAACGCTCCCATAGCGCACTATAATAATCCTTAAATTAAGCCTGTGAATGGACCTAGATGAGCAGCAACTCTCTGTGGTACCATTGTGCATAAGGTGCTTTAGAACAATCACAGTCCGATATGTTGCTTTTCTTCCTTAAGAAAACTGCTACTTTGTAGTGATGCTAAATTCAGCTCAGTTTAAGTGATGCCAGGTAAGTCTATGGCTGTCTGTACGTACATCTTTCATGTGGCTTTTATCTCTCCAAGTAGCCTCAAAGTGCACATTTGGGACTCTGCTACCCAAGCAAGAGGTCTGGATGGGGCAGGTCTCCCAAGCAACTGAAAACTGATTGCCACAAATGACTGCGATGAAGAAACAGGCCAGTTCTGGACGTGATGCTCCAGAAGTGCTATTTGTGCACAGTTTCACTGCATGAACAGCAAAATTGGAGCAAACATTGATCACGAATACATCATAAAATTGTGGATTTTTCCCCCAAAGAGTGAACTGCATTAGCAATTTAATAATTGTACGCCTTCTGCATTCAGCAACCTCTCTCTTTATACATCTAATCAGCACTAATTTAAATGCAGGATAATTAGCAGATACACTCACGGATGGGTGCTGAAATGATCCCTGAAAATTTAACTGCTTGCTATCTTGTAGCATGCACTAACAGTTGGAGCCCTAGTAAGACAGAACACACGGCAGCAGAGGCAAAATCTTATCATGGGCAGCAAAAAAGATTTAAAAAAACAGGAATGCATTTCAGAGCTGAGACTAGATTCCAACATTTGGGTGTTTTGCCCTTCAGTAGAAGACCAAAGGAGTAAATGCCACTTTATCTTTGTCTTCCCATGTTTTGTCTACAAATAAGTCAGTATGTTGGTATATTTACTATCTAGATATTTACCATCAACACGCAGGCAATTATTTGGTGGTATTGTTCCTAGACATTGTATGTGCTGATCCAGCAAAGCACAGATAGCCCAGCAAAATATGTCCGCAGACAGACAAAGCATGTCCACGTGACAGCAATAAATCTGAACCACAGTCAACACACTCGAACTTTGCTTGGCTTACTTGCCAGGCTCTTGGGACTCAGGCAGATCCCAACTTCTTTGTCCGAGTAAACACCTCCTCGTAGTCCATGACAATTTTGCCTCAGCAAGGAGAGCAGTTTTTGCAGGCTACAACCTTTTTTTCCCCAAACATTTTCAAAGACTCATAAAGTAATCATTAAATCAGTGGTCTGCACATGTGACAGATGCTGAGTGCGCCTCAGTTACTGGAAAACGCTTGGGACAAGGTCCCACGGGAGAGGCAGACGGAGCGGGCAGAAGGGCCCCGGGAGAGGCAGCAGCTGAGAGGGCTGGAGCAGACCCGAGCTGGCCCTGCACGCACGCTGCACGTACATACGTGAGTGTACCTGACCTGAAAGCCGTCTAGTGCTCTACAATGGCACAGAGTGCAAGTGGCTGTGTCCCAGCTCTCAGAGGAGTCATTAGCTCAAGGCCTGAGCTGCCTAACGAGGCTTCTCAGCTTCTGCCTTACAGGGCTTGGTGCCCCCCCCCTCTCCAGGCGCAGGCAGGAGGAGCTCACGTCTGCCTGCAAAAGCGGCCACACGTGCCAGAGAGGAGGTGACCTTGCCAGGGGAAGGCAGGAGGACGACCAGCATCTGGGGAGAAACAAGCACGAGCCCGTGAACCCCTTCACTCTGTGAAATGGAGAGCCGCCTATTTTAAAAGTGGGCAAACATCTCATAAAAACGAATTGGGAATTTTTGATGCAAAGAAGAGGGTCAGCCAAGCCAGGTGGTTTTGCGCACTCGTTAGGATGAAATGAACACACCATGGTCCCCATGAGATGGTAAACAGAAAATTTCTTTTGCTACCTTTGCATTTTCCTGGCACTTAATTAAATACAGAAAAGAAAACAGAGGCACAGAAACGGTGGTGCAAGGAAATAAAAATGAGCAAGACTAAATTTGGGATCATAACCTTTCCTGTAATGTTGCTGTGAGAACATGATTCTTCTGTCTTTTGTACTGACATTGTGCCTCTCATTACTGACTGCAAGCCTGACAGCGTTTTACATGGCATGGGACCAAATAGGAAGATGTGATATTTTAAAAATATGCATATATGTCAAAGTTGACTGTCACCAAGTTATAACACCCCTGTTCCTAGTAACATTTTTACGTTCTGGCAAACAGTTTGTCCTTCTAGTGGGTATTGCTAATATGTAATTAATTTTATATAAACTAAGGAAGAAAATGACATATTATTTTGATTCATTCTCGTTAGGTACCTCTTAAAAGTACCCCAGGGCATTTTTAAACATGAAGAATGCCCACAGTTACGATTTTTATAAAATATACTTTAATCTTGCACTCTGTAACTATTTAATGATTTTGCCAGTAGCAATTTCTTATTGCATCCCCTCTTTGTATTCAAAGCTTACCTATTGCAATGTGTCTTTATAAAGAAATACATTAATTAAATATGTCTTGGCTTCACTTGCCTAGGAAAAGACTATTTATCACTTGGCAGGCACAAGCACAACATAATACCTGCTATTGCTCATGGGCACCTCACACAAACTGACTACTGCCGCATGATGTAATTGCCTCCAACCACCCCGAGCGCACAAAGAGGCTTTCTCCCATCGGTGTTGTGCCATTCACTCACCTCATCTACTGTAAAGCACCTGATGCATTTGTGAGATGTACTGGGCTTTTTTTTTTTTCCTTACATTGCTATACCAACAACTAGTGAAATATATTTGTAGTGATCGCCCTGACACTAGACATATGGAGGATGGGGCAGGGCTGTTGATCTCTCTGCACCAAATCTTCCTGGGGACCTCTTGCCAGCACAGAGGGGAGAGTCAGTGTCAAACACAAGATGCAGCTGTAACCAGCAAATAGATTTGGTATGGGCAGGGCCACTGAAATGCAGGAAAAAAAAATAATTGAAAAGTAAGAACAATGACTGATGGTCTCATATCAGACACCTGAGCTACAACCACATTTCCAGTTTTCTAAGGTCATTTCTGAGCTGGCCTTCAGTCAGAATGAGAAGGTGTTTCATGTGCATTCATACCCATGGGCAGCTGCCACAAACTCTGTTAATATTTTATTATGTGAGAAAGGTAAAAAAGAAGTTGTGGCTTAGAAATGAAACACGTCAATTATTCCTTGACCTTGATTAGATGTTCGAAATGCTCTTCAATATGTTGACGATATGTGCTAGGCAGTAATTATTTTTCATGGAAAATGTTTCTCTGATACTCTACTGGTACCTTCATTAATCATAGGTCATCCTCAGAGGTCCAAACCTCTCATAATTTGACAAACATCTAAAAATGGAAAAGTTTGAGAGCAACCCTGACCATGTTTAGAGTGACTCTGAGCACAAGGCATTTACGTTACCTAGCACAGCTAAAGGTATTCAGATTACTGTTCAGAATTGCCTAGTTGTTTTTTCTTTTTTTTTTTTTTTTTTTGTCCTCTTTACCTACTTGCCTCAATTATGCTGTGTGGAAAAGGTCAGTCCCTTCCATCACGTTCTAACTGGTTGCCTTTTCTCTTCATCAGATGTCCTATTACCTGAACCTGCACTGACTCCATTACTCACTTTCCCTCTCTCTCACGGGGAATCAAAGTACCTGAACCACAGGTGTCCCCCAGGTCTTCTCTAACCCTTCTCTACTACCAACAGCCTCTCCCACTCATTTTTGCCCCTCAGCTTCTTTGTTCCTAACTCCTTTTTTCCCTCTCCTGCTCAGAATGTGTTAGTGTTCTTTCCATCTCCACGACACTGAAGCATGCATCTCCTACTACTCTTGCTACCACTACTGCACGTTATGTTTAGGTGTGTATTTGTTGGGGAACTTTGTAAAAATTCCCTTGTCATCAGCTGGGTCCCTGGGATGCCAGTGAAGGGAAAGGCACTGGGGGGCTCACAGGCAGATGCTGTCAGACAGAGCAATCTGCTTAATGGGAGCCGGAGGGAGGGAGCAGCAGGGACAGAGTGAGGGGAAATCAAAGTGTGATCTATCAGAGCAAGGTGGGAAATGAGCCTGTGAAAGGCGGCGAGAGCTGAATGCTAACAACCCGAAAGCTTGGCTCAGGTCCTCTCCTTGCCGTCTGCTGTGGCTGCACCAGATCCTCTCCTCTTTCCATCTTTGGCTGTCCCTGTGTAACTTCACCCAGGCTCCAACATCCAGCTACTGTGGCAATTTGTGGCTGGTCGGTGCCAAACCAGTAGCTAAAGCCTGGTGAGTGACGTGCTCGCTGTGCAGCGTGTCACTGCACAGCCAGGGTGAAGGGATTTTCATCCTTCCCTTTTATAGATGTTTGGATAATGCTCAACTTTTCTGACATTTCTGCAGAATCTACAATATTCCTCATGTTTTTTTCATGACACTCCCCTCAGCCCCATCCCTTCCCAAAGGGACGCACTAGTTCTCATTTTACAAAACAAGTATCTGAGACGTGGTGACCTCAGAGAGGTCACATTCAGGGTGTGTGGGGCGGAACAGACAACCAAAACCAGGTCCCTGGGCACACCAACCACAAGCTATCTTTCCTCTTTTGTTCAGGCTTAGAGAAATTCACTTCCACAGTTTCCAAACCAGACGTGGAATTAGATATATTTGATAAATCTCAATAATTGGGGGTAATTTATACATCCCATTAAAACAAAATGTTGCTTCAGTATTACTAATAAGACAGTAGAAATAGATGAGCTAAAAGAGCAAAGGTTTGGTTATAGAGTTAATAGGAGACACAAGGCGGTGTTTTCTGTGCTTACCTTCAGCACTGTGATATTCCATGCAAAACTCTCAATGGCTTTGCTTAATTTTCTTCCTTTCAAACCTTCCTTTGTCCCGAGGTTATGAAGCTCTTCGTGGAATTCCATTCCTAAAAAACCAGATCACTATATCACCCAGTGCATGACTGATTTCCCCTATAAAACGTTCAGTGAGCATTTTCAGTCTCACAGCCGGTACTTCCTACAACCTCATCCCGTGTTCCCCCCCCGTTTCCCTGTTATGACCACATTCTGCAGAGCATCTTCCAGAATAAAAGGGTCACGTGCAATCTTGCGGTTGTGCTTCCACTTTGTACGTAACTCCCCTTGCCAGCGCTGGGGTCCTGCGGAAGCACGTGCCTGGTCCTTGGCACAAACACTCCTCCAGCGCTTCTGCTTGCAGCCTGCATTGCTGGCAATATTGTGACAAAAGGCAATTGCTTGTCACTCTCCTTCAATAGATGATTTTGTACCTTGGAAGGCAGTCTGACAGACGTGGAAGATACCTGTTCAGCACAGCTAATACAGCCTCACATGCACAGCTCCTCATTAATCTTAATCACAGTCATCCAGAAAAGCCCTTGTACTTCACAATGATAAATTATGTCAGAAATGCATACTGCTAATCACAGGATTGCTGTTCCTGCAGCCTGGAGAACTGAGGCTTCCAACCATAGCCCTGGGAATTGTTACATTTCATTGCTAGTTTCTGTGGCAAATGTCTGCAAATCTGTTGCTGGATAGAAGAATTCAGAAAATCTGTAAGCAGATTAAAAACCATAACAAGTCCAATTAGCCCACCAATTCTGCAAGATGTGCACAGTGTATGCAAACATTTCTCTGAGTCTGGTGTGGATTAAGAGACAAAATGGAGAGAGAGCTGCTTGTGTTCCCTTAATTTGTACCTTACAAAGGCCAAATTGACACTCAATCACTCCCAAATGTCTGAAGCCCATCCTGGCTGAACAAACCAAGTTCCATCTCCAGTTGTTTCATAGCTCTCCCTCCCCTAATGTTTTAAGGCAAATGTCATTCCCAAATTCAAGCTTCATTGAAATGACATCAAAGAAACGCCCATTGAGAGAACACCTGCACGGAGTAGACACAGAGGGCTGTTTAGTGGGTTGCTGAAGGAGTCAGTCCTTTGACAGCCCAAGACAGGCTTGCACTCGGCATAGCTTGCCCGAAGCACTCCTGGAAGACTAACAATAGGTTTCTTCTTGCCTTGCACGGACTCCAGGAGCTTGACAACACTGAGGCAGTTCAACCCCACACAATGCAAAATTTCTCCACTGTTTATTTTCCAAAACTTCGCCCACTCACAGGTTTTGCCTGTCTAGGGTAACAGAGCTCCTGCAGGACTTCCTTCGGAAAACAGTCTAAATAATTGCACCCCAAGCAAGATGCCCCTGCAGGTATGCCTCTGACTTACAAATCATTTCACTTCAGTAAGTGAAAGGAAACCTTCAAATGACTCGCTCTGTCCTGCAAAAAATATGAAGGCTAATGGTGCTCAGCTCGACGTGGACAGCCCTGCCTTTAGGCAGCATCCTTTTAGTTATTTTTCCCTCTGGACCTCACTTCCCCACCTGTAACTTGGAGACAGCGCTGCCCTGGAGAAAGGGAGCCACAAACATTTGTTACACTGTGGGTAGGAGCACCAACAAAAACGTTTAGCAGTTCAGTCCTCCAAACTGCTGCTGACCAGGGCTGAGACTGCAAATGAAAAAAAAAAACAAAACAAAAAAAGCAGCCACCTGAGAAGCAATCTGGGGGAGCAGGCAGGACCCCGTGACACAGGGAGCCCAGACCAAAACAAGCTATGATGTGAAACAAAGGTCTGGTGGGAACAGGTGTTCAAAGGGAGCAGGACTGGGGTGAGGTGAAGGACAACATCAGAGGCAATTCTACCTCTGACACCTCCTAATTTTGAATGCTTCATCTTGCCACATTGAAAACGTTATTTGAACAATTTGCCTGGGCAGCATTTGCAACAAACTAATTGGCCACTGAGCGTGGTGAGGGATTCTCTCTCTCCTGCTCCTTTCCACTTCATATCTCTCCAGCCTTCTTCTTATTTAGAAATGATATTTTAAGGCTAACAAAGCAAAACAAATGAAAACACAAGTAGATAGAGCAGCAAAGAGAACAAACTTGAGAAATTAATCTTTTTTGCTGAGGGAAGGAAGGAGAGGGGAACTGCATGAAACTCTGGACATCAGTGTGGTGGCACGGTCCTGTGTTGCGTTCTCTGTGCACATCTCCAGCCCTCTGCTCACAAAGACACCAGTGCCCAGGCAAGTGTCACAGGTTCTTCTCTCTGTGCACAGAGCAGAGTGGGCAGAAAGCTGGCTGATGCTACTGAGGGTCTGTATAATTTAGTGCAAAGTATTGCTCTTAAACTACACCAGCTAGAAAGACCCCGGGTGCTGCATTTTCCTGCCACTAACCCACTCCTAAACCCTCTGCACCTGATGAAGGCTTTGGGCTGAGGATATTTATGCTGCTTGTGCAGATATGCAGGAGGGGGCAAGGCATGACACCAGATGAGGCCCATGAAATCCAGCAAGCCATAGCTGCTTGCCTCTCCTCCCTTTGCCACCACAGCACCAGCATGGCTCCAGAGCTCTGAATTTCAAAGAGCAAGGACTAGCTTCCACCCCACTCTTGCACCACATAAAAATTAGTTAAATGCTATTGTTGAAAAGTTTCCAAATTTCCTCTAATTAAAAAGATGAATTAAAGGATTTACTACAAAACACCAATTTCATTCATTATTTACATTTAATAGAAGCAAATGGATGTAGCCTGCATCTCTTGCCAAATCCAGAAATGCCTATCAGAAACAATAGTATTTATGATTGTTGTGGTCCCAGAAGACTATGCCCAAGGACACAAATCAAATGCAGTAGCAAGCGTTTGCATTACTGACGTTCAAGGCTTACTACAGGTTAGGAAAGGTGCAGCTGTACAACTAAATGAACTGCAAACAGATTTAATCTCTGCAGTGTAAACCCCTAATAGGAATACACTGCGTGTATTTATTCAGCATGGTTTCTGATATGTGAAAGTTGATGGATTTAGTTTTAGAGGATTACCACTGCCAAATTTAGATTCTTCTATCTCTAGCAGGGCTTATTCTTGTGTATCGGTGGAAGCTACAGGAGATGTGTCCCCGTTCAGAGCCTAGCCTGCTATCCTGAACAAG